CCCCCCCACAGTGAAAGTTCAGGCCCTGCCTCCCCTCGCCCCACCCCTCCTCATGTCCAGTCCTGCTTGTCATGCAAGCACCGATTCAGACGCTGCTCCCAGAACACCTTCCCTGAACCCACCTGTCTGGACTGAGGTCTTCCTGACCCCTTCCTGTTCTGTGATGCAGATGTTCATATAGGTGTTCTATGACGGTGAGGGAAACTATTAAGCAGTTGCCATATTGTGGGCACAGTGCTAAAGGTTTTACGTGGAAAATCTTAATTTTTACAATATCCCTTGGAAGTAGGCATTCTTACCTCAGGTGGAAACAGACCGGAGGTTAACTTGCCAAATGTCACACATCTCTAACTGATCGGAGCAGTGTGTTCGTTCTCTATTGTTCAGACGACCCCCGATCTTAGTGGCTTAAAATCACAAGTGTTTATTATCTTACACGGTTTCCGAGGTCAGGAGTCCAGGAGCGGCTCTGCGGGGCGGGCCACCAATTTTGTGCTGGAAGGTTGGCAGGGGCTGCAGGCTCGTCTGGAGGCCCGACTGGGGCTGGAGGAGCTGCTTCCAAGGTGACGGCTCCCGTGGCTGTGGGCGGGAGACCTCAGTGCCTCGCACGTGGGCCTGTCCAGGGGGCTGCCGAGCGTCCTGCAACGTGGTGGCAGCGGCCCCCAAGTGGGCGACTGACAGTGAGCAGGGCGGAATCCTAATGCCTCGTATGACCTCACGCAGAAGCCACACGTAGCCATTCTTCCAAACCTGGTGTTGACGCGGGCCAGCCCTATCGCTTGGGATGGGACATGCGTGGGCACAGATAGTGGGGGGCTGGCAGCCGCAGGCAGGCTAGGAACAGGCCCCCCAGCCACTGCTGACTAGCCCACCCCATACGTGCATCCAGGGCCGTCGAACCCCTCCTCAGCCAACACCCGCTCCCTGTTCAGCCGTGTGAGAGCCGACAGCAGGGAGGGAATGTGTTCCCTTTCTGTGGAAACTGCTGCCAGACAGATCTGTGTTTTGCTTTAATCAAGTGAAAAGGTGTGACCCAAGCACCCCCAGCAATTTGGGCTCATTAAGCTGGAGGTGTGAACAGAATCAAGGGGAAGGAGGGTGATACTCCTACCACACCTCTCTACTTGTTCCCAGGATGCTCCGGCTGGAACAGTTTCCTCTGGGAAGGGCTGGGGGTTGGGAGTGGACAGGGGGCCTCAGGGTGAAGCTGGGCTGCACCCGATTCTGCCCACATTGTTGGGGTGCCACTCACCCCACACAGAGGCCTCTCCAGTCTGCCTTCTGGAGGAGCCACCCCATTACTCCCAACATCCACGTCCCGAGCACCCGTTCCGGGGCATCCGTGGAGGGGCTGCTGACCAGGATGCTGGTGACCAGCGACAGCGGTCAGTGTGTAGGAGCAGCTGTGAACGTCCTGGCCCCGAGGTCCTTGTAGCAGGAGTCCGCCAGGAACGGAGGTGGGGCTGCCCTTACCGTTCCGCAGACGTGAGGCCCCAGACACCCACAGCACCCCCTTACATTCGTGGGGGCTCCCCGTCAGATGGGGGAGCAGCCTGGGCAGGCCAGGGCCCCACGGCCCCACGGACACCCTGCCCACCCGAGACTCCCTCCCAAGGGCACCCCTCCTCCCAGGGTCAGATCTACAGGCCACCCAGGTTTGGAACAGGTGGGACCTCCCTCTGGGGGGGCTCCAGGAGAGGTGAGGGGCCCTCCTTCCCCAGGCTGGCATGGGCCTGCCAGCTGTAGGACTCAGCACGTTCACACGTGGGGCCAGCTCCCTACCAGCTCAAAGCTGCAGGGAGCGTGTATGGGCTCACAGGGCAGCATGGGGGTGCCCTGCAGGAGCTCACCCCTTCACAGGACAGCCGCTGCCATGTCTCATGCTGTCCTGCACACTGTCCACACACACACTGGGAAATCCTACCACACATGCACTCTTGTGTTCTATTTTTTAAATGTTAAGATTTAAGAAAGTACTTTTTTATTTTTTTTGAAGATTTTATTTAGAGGGAGAAGGCACGAGCAGGGGGAGGGGCAGAGAGAGAGTCTCTCAAGCAGATTCTGCACTGAGTGTGGAGCCCAACACAGGGCTCAATCTCACGACCCTGAGATCATGACCTGAGCCGAAATCAAGAGTCGGACGCTTCACTGACAGAGCCACCCAGGCGCCCCGGAAAGTACTTTCATGCTATTTTCATTCAATCACAGGTTGTTGTAAGCAATTCTAGGATTCTATATGGCTTCCCTCTTACCCTTTCGCTCCCCTAATTCACCTGCTGTAGGACATGTGAGGTGTTTCCTGGTTTGTGGCGGTGGGGATAGCACGGCTGTGAGCATCTCCGAGGACACAGCTCGTGGAGATGACTCGTTCTTTATGGAGGCTCTTGGTCTGGCATATAGGTAGAGTCTGATCGGAAGCAGAGGGACACGTGTGTCTGGTTGTTCGTCAGCCTCACAGACAAGGTGGTCATGCAGCAGGCGGGCAGGACGTGGGTTCTGTGTTTGGGGAATCCCAGCTCCGTCACGTGGTAGGCGCGTGAGTGTGGACAGACGTTGTGACTTCTCTGCGCCTGTTTCCTCATCCGTGAGACAAGGGACAATGCAGCCCTTTGCCAGATGGTCACACAGCTCCTTGCCTCGCTGCCCTCGGACCCCTGCCTGGAAGCACCTCCTCAGAGCGGTCCCAGGGCCTCCGTTTTGAAAGCCTTCGAGGCCACCTTGCGGGCTTGATTCTTCTTCAGAGCACTTACCGTCAGCCTCGGCCAGCTTGGGCGGCTGTAACAAAATGCCAGTCTGGGGCCTTATAAACAGCAACCACTGGCTCCTCACAGTCCTGCAGGACGCAAGGCCTATATCAGGGCACCAGCGGGCCCAGGGTGCCAGGGGCCAGCGTCCTGGCCGGGAGACGTCACCTGCTTGACCTCACGCAGCGCAGAACGAGGCAAGCTCTCCCGGGACTCATCAGGGGGCTCTGCCTCACGCCCTCATCTATCCTAACTGCCTTGCCGAGACCCCACTTCTTAACATCTGAACTCTGGGGGACACAAACATTCAGGCCATGACCTCACATGGCATGTGCCTTGTTCATGTGTCCCATGTACTCACCACTCACTCCCCGCCCCCCCCCCCCGTGCCGCAAGCCCGTGAGCTACAGGAGGGTGGGGCTCTACATCCGTGTGCCTGGAACACTCCTGGGGGCTCGTGGGCATCTCCAGACACCACCTGGCTGTCTCGTGAACTGCCACGAGGCCCGTGGGAGGCCGTGGAAGCACTGTGGGGCAATGATGATTTACTGAGCCTGGTGGACACCCTCGTTCGGGGGCCAGAGGCAAGAATACAGCCACCCACCATGGCGATGCTGGGCGGGGGCTCCCGCAGGCTCAAAAGAGCCATGAGTTTACATGAAGTGCTTCCTTGTTCCCTCCCCCTTTAAAAATGATTTTATAGTCTATTTATTATCACAGTTATACGCAGTTTGAGGGACCACCCTCCCCCTTTCTGCCCAGAGGTGACGCTACGTCCCTCCACGTGCCTGAACAGCCTCCACGGGTGTCCCTGTCACTGTCTTCCCCTGCGGTGGACACTCCCTGCTCACTCCCTCCACACCTGGCCCTCCAGCTGCACCCTTCCTGCATCCCATCCCTCCCTCCAAGACTCGGCCATAGACTTGGTTAAGTCAACATCAACGTTTGCAGGGAGTGGGTACCTTGTAAATGTTTCCGTGGCTGTGAGTCTGTAAGTGCTGTGGGGAACAGCTTTCTAGAACAACATGATCTCTCTGTCCTGGCTGCACATCTTCCCGTGTAGTCTGTATGAATCGTCACCCTTTCTCTTGATCCCTTTTCTATGTGATTGTTCCTCTTCTAGGCCCAGACTCTCCCTCGATTGTTCAGATCTCGAGTACACGCACCAGGTAATCTGCCAGGTTCATCTTCCCAGGGATGGCCGCTCCCACCTGTGAGGTGGGGTCCCCAGGAGCGGGAGCAGGGCCAGTGGGGAAGCTGGGATCTGACTCAGGCTTCCACTGGAAGCAGGCGGCAGGCGGACCAGCCGGGGCTATCTCAGTCATCTGGAGTGAAGTAAGGGTTTCCGGGCCCCCCGGGGTGGCTGGCTCCTGAGGGATTTTGGCGAATGGAGCAGGAATGGATGTGAGCTGGGATGGAAGGAGTCTGTAGGACTGAGCCCGAAGTCCGCTGTAACTGACAGTCCTAGGGGCTGGAAGGGGGAGACCAATGCAGGGTGGACTGTGTGTCTGGTGAGGGCCCGCGTGCTGGGTAACGGTCTGGCTGCGTCCTTGCGCAGCCCGAGGGCCAGGCAGCTCCCTCCGGCCCTGTTGTCAAGGCAGGAGGGTCCCCCATGGCCTGCGGATCGCATCACATGGGGGGTTAGGTTCCAGCCTGAGACTTCTCGGGGACACGCACATGCAGCGCCAACAGCGGAGGTGTCGGACTCTCCAAGACGCAAGCGAGCTGTCCGGGCTGCAGTTCGCGTCTGCCTGCGCTCGCTCCGTGCCCGCTGCCCGCCCTGTGCCCGCCGAGCCGCTGCGGCCCAGGCGCCGGCCGGGCCCCGCTGGTTCTCTCGCGCTCTTGCTACTCCCTCCCTCCCTCCCGAAGCCGCGCCCTCTTCCGAACAGGACCTCCCGCTTGGGCCGTTCCCTGTCTTGCTCCGCCCTCTCCGCCGCGCGTCCGGGGGCTTGCTCCAGGGCAGCGCCGTCCTCCCGCGAGGCCCGCCCGCACCGCAGGCCACAGCGGGCGGCGGCGCCCGGGCAGCGAGGCCACGCCCAAGCCAGCACCCCGGCTCGGCGGCGCCCGGAACCCGCCGCGGCGGAGCCGCTGTTGCCGGGGGACGCGCTCGGGCGCCGGACGCGGGGTGCGCGCGCAGCCGCCGTTCCGGTTCCGGGCCGGCCGGAGAGGAGCGGGCGGAGGGGCGCGCGCGGGCGGAGGAGCAGCGAGCGCCCGCCGGCCGAGGTAGAGCCCGCCGCCCCCCGGCCCCGGCGGGCGCCGCGCGCGGGCTCCCCGCCCCGGTGGCCGCAGGTGGCCCGTGTCACGTGCCGCGCCCGGTGCAGGGACCCCGCCCGAGGCGCGGCCCCGGGGGCTGTGCGGGCGGGGGCGGGCGGTCCGCCCTCAGCCCCCGTCGCCCGCCGCCGGGGCGCTTTCTGTCCCGCGTCTGCAACGAAGCCGTTTCTGCTCCGCTCGGCGCGCCCTGCGCCCGAGTGTGGGGTGCGCCTGCGCACTGGGGGCCGGCGGTGACCGCGGAGGGCCGGGCGCTTGAGAGGCCCCGTGAGCAGCCGCCTTCTGGGCGGCAGGGGAGGCATGGGCGGTGTGGAGGGTGCTGCAGCCTTTGCTGGAAAGGGAAGGGCTGGGGGTCGGAGCTGTCCTGCGGGGAGCTGTTTGTGCCGGCGCCCAGGCGGGGCCCAGGAGCAGCAGTGCCGCCAGCGGGCGCTGGGGGGGCCTGGGGGGTGACCGCTGGGACGAGAGGGCCCTTGCCGCAGCGCCCCCCTCACGGCCAGCTCAGTCAGCGGAGTCAACTCTGGACCTGGGTAGAAGCCTTATCCCTCCGGATGGCGTTTTTGAGACGGTGCTTTACTTCCTAACATGGACGTGGGTTTAAGCCTACGGCGTTTAGATTTGAACGCAGCGTGCGCAAGTGCAGTGTGGATGTCCATCACTTAAAAGTACAACCTTGAGAAAAGCCCCCGAAACCGCAGGCTGGGTGTAGGAGAATGCGGCCCTCTTGCACCCAGGCCTCAGAGTCAGCAGACCACGGGAAGTGCTGGGCCCTGCTTTATATTCGGGTTCTGGGGGTGCAGGGGTCAGGCCGGTGTCGCCCGTCAGGTGCCATTTGATTCATTTCGAAACCAGCCGCCTTCGTTTGAATGCAAGTATCACTCTTAGGAATTATCTTCGTCGTGGGGCTCCCCGGTGAGCACCGTGCTGGGGATGGTGCAGCCGTCGGTCCCCCTTCTGTGCGGCCGGGCCGTCTGTGCCTGCCCTGGTCTTGTTATTACAGGTGGGACGGGAAGGCTTACACACGTGAAGAAACTAGGGAGGGAGGAGCAGATGTCCAGGTGTGTGTGAGTCTGAGACCACAGGTGCCACCCTGTGTCGGGCAGGCCTTCTGCAAGGCCCACGTGCTCTGGTGGTCTGCCTGAGAGTCTGGATGTCAGGATACCCAGTCTGCCACGTTTCTGGCCGGGCGCCTGTGGAATCTGAGAGCAGCGTGTCCCCCTCTGGGAGGAGGGCTGGCCCGGCTCCCCAAAAGGCAGATTTCTGTGGTCTTGGCCGAGCTTCTGTCGCATCGCCGCACGGTGATGCTGCTTATCCTGGGCCGGCTGGCATGTTGAGAGCAGTTTTGTGAAGCTGGGTAACTGAGACAGCGAAAACCCATGGCCTAATTGCATGTACTTGGTGGCCGTGTCCCTCCAGGCTGTGCCGCTGGGGGTGACAGGGAACCCCACAACCAAAGGCCCCGTGGTCAAAGGTGGGGCTCTCTTCCTGAGGGGTCCAGAGGTGTTTGGGAGGGAGACACACAGTCATCTGCCCTGAATAGATTGATGTTTTTGCTTGTTCAAGGCAGGGCCCTGATCCCCTTTTTTTTATGAGGGAGTGAGTGCAGGGTCACATACCTGAGTGACTTAAAGCTGTTTTGAAGGGATGGCCCCATGCTCCCACATGTTTGGTGGGAGAATAAATTAGTGCAGCCTCTCTGGGCGGGGGAGGACTCTGGCCCTATTTACTCAAATTAAAAGTTATTTTTGTTGAGGCCCCCCGCTGAGCGCTGGGAGGGCCTCTTCTGAACTACCCGCTGTGAGCTCAGGTGCACGCGCCCCGCATCTCCTTCCTGCCACAACATGGGCCCAGCAGCCCCCCCCCCCCCGCCGCAGCTGCAGCTCGCCGCCCCTCCCAAGACAGCCAGCCTGCAGCCTCCAGCGCCTGGCCCAGACGCTCCTCGGACTGCTGGCTGCAGACACGCTGCCTCCCATGTGCGTGCGTCCCTGTAGCAGGACTGACGACGTCACATCCGCACAAACCGTCTATGAACCAGAGGTTCTGACCAAGAGAAGAATGCTGTAGATCCACCATCTGGAACAAAATTTTTTATGTTTTTGTCTTTTCTGTGTAAAAGAAAATACTAATACTGAAGTTGAAGCATCTCCAGTTTTAAAAAACAAATGGTATTTATTAGGCTTTTAAAAAGACTGATTGTAAAAGTCATACATGCTCATTTCAGAAAAATTGGAGAAAATTGGTAAGTGCTAGGAAAAGACAGGAATCATCTGCATCCCTGTAACCTTATGAACACCGGTGTTTACCTTCCCATCCTTGGTGGTCTTGTAGGACGCTACCTAAAGGCCAGCACACGCCCTCCACGACTGACCGCCACACACCCCGTCTGGACCCTTTGGTTTAGACCCAGTTTTCAGTATCATAAATAACGCTGTCATGAGCATCCCCTCTGTGCATCTCTGATTGTTTTCTGAAGACACATTTTAAAGAGAACAGCCATGGGAACAAAGGGTGTGTATTTTTTGGAGTTTTTTGTCCCATCTTGGAAGTGACGCTGAATTACCCTTTTGGAGGGCTGAGTTGATGCCCTGGGGCCCGCCTAGCCAGAGGGGCCACCCCCAGGTCCTGGGGGCAGCCTGGGTTGTGGCTGCCGGGGCCTGTGGAGTTGACCAGATGTCCGTGTCTCTGGGCATCCCCCCATTGTGGACGCTCCTCACTGCTTGTCCTAGGGCCGAATTGGGGGTGTGGGGGGACCAGCCAGGCCTGGACTTGGATCACTGCTTCTCCTGCTGTTTTGAGGTCTCAGGCAGGGGACTTCCCCTCTCGGGTTCCCTGGGGGCTGTTGCTGTGACTGCCTCTTGTGGCGTCCACCCCCAGCCCTGCTATGGAGGCCATCGAGGCCCCGCACGGAAGGAAGGTGGGGTCAGCCCTGTTTGCCTGTTCTGTGTTGCAAGTGCTCGGGCTCCAGCTTCTCACCGTCGCCGTCTGGCTCAGGATGCTGCCACTCCTGGGGTCCCTGGAGAAGCAGGCAGCACGTTCCCCTCTCCCAGTGAGGGAGGCAGGAGGTGTCTGCTCTTTGAGACCCTGGAGGGGAGGCCCCTTATGGGGGAGATGTGGACGCGGGTGTGGATGAAAGGAGAGTGGCATCGATTTCTGTAGCTGCGGGTCTGGCACCACCTCTCATGCCTCCCGGGATAGGGGTGGAAGAAGCAGCCGTTTCTGGCTACCGGGGTGCCCTATTCCTTAGCACCCCAGAGAATGCTGCCCCCTCCAGCGAGCACCCTGGAACATCTCTCTTGCACTCTCCCCAGCAAGAATCTGGCCAGAAAAGCCGTGTAGCAGGTTTTCTGTTTGCAGGCTCTCTTTGTTTTGTATTGTTTTCCCACCACCTGTAGGGCAAACAGGAGGATCTGCGAGAAGTGAGGACAGGAAACAACATGTCTCGGCTATGTGGGTTTGCTCTTCAGCGGCTCTCTTTCTTTCTGAAACTAGCATATCTGGCGTGCTTATCACATTTACTGTTTCCTTGCCACGTGTCAGGTTTCTCTATGGTAACAGAAGTCCAGAGGTGTGGAACCAGCCCCAAATCCACCTCTGAACTCTGTGTAGAGGTCAGGACAAGGGCACAGAGAAGTTGTAGGACACTGCGGCTTTTGATGACTGCCTCTTTCATCTGGAAATAGAGTGGGTCTAGTGCATTTGAGAACCGACCATTCGGTGGAGGCTGTGGAGCGTTGAGGAATATTCACACAGGACCTCGGAGCAAACAGCGGCGGCTGAGAGGGTCCTCAGCGGCTGCGGGGTCTCCTCCCACATGGCCGGAGCTGGAGCCTCTCCACGCTGTGGGGCTCGCGTTCCAGGCATAACCCCGTTCCGGCAGTTTTTCCTGCCCTGCAGCTTGTTTGTTTTGTTAGGTAATTATAAAGTGTTGCGTATAATCTGTTCTTAAATTAAGAACAGAGAACAAAACTGTTTAGTGCTCATAACAAACAACAACACATTAGCTTTCCCCTGTAGCAAGTTACTGGGAGAGAGAAAAGTGTGGATCTGAGCAGGGGGAGGGCTTGGGAGACCGAGCGGGAGGGAGGCAGCAGGGGTGCCTGGCCTCCCGCCCCCCTGCCCAGGTCATTCCTGCGCGTCTCTGTTCTGCTGGGCCTGTCGGAAAGAAGACTTGTGGCTTCCGTTTTGCTGTGTTGTTGGCCGGCAGGCGTCCCGTCAGCCGGTGGCATTCAGAGGTGCCCTCTGGGGTCCCCGTGCCTGGCTCCCGTGGGAGCGGCGGGCATGCCGTCCATGGGCGGACGCGGCTGCCGGCTCTGCTGTGCTTGGCTGGGGGAGGGAAGGCCCAGGCTGGGCTCTGTCTGGGACTTGGGGGCTGAGCAACCTTGACTTTTCTTCCATGTGAGATAGGGTCAAAGGTGGTGTCCTTGTTTCCTGAACAGGGTGCTTGAAGGTGAGGTTGAGAGGTGCAAACACGTCGTAGCATGGGGGGTGCGTTTTCACTGTCAGTGTCGAGTGGTCTCGTTAGAAATCCCTGGGGACAAGTGAGTCGCGGAGCCCAGAAAGGTGCTGAGGCCCGGGGCTGTGCCCAGGGAGGGAGGCAGTGACCCCCTGAGCACCAGAGGTGATGGTGGGGAAGAGCGACCCCTGAAGGAACTGTGGAACGGGGGATTTCAAACCAGAGCGAAGGGTTGTTACTGACCCTGCGGTCCGCCCTGGCTCTGGGAAGGAGCCTGCTGGTTACGCTGGAGGCAGAGTCCAGGGTAGTAGGCGGGCTCCCGGCCTCTGGAATTGAGCTGTCCCTGCAGAAGCAATCTTGGAAGTGTGCACCCGTCCCTGTTAAGTGCTGACGCCCACGGCTGTCCCCGTGAGGCACTGTCCCCGAGCAGGACGTGGGCACGGAGCCAGACCCGCTGCAGGACGCTGCCTGGCCCTGACTGGCTCACCCTTCGCAGGGGGAGGGAGGAGTCCGGATTCAGTTTAAAGCCAGACTGACACCCCGGAGATGCGTACACGCACTTCGAGACTGCATGCCACCGTGTTTCCGAATGCCCTCCCGTCGGAAGTGCACGGAGCAGAAGCGGGCCGTGTACTGAGCCGCGAGTGCCGGATGGACAGCGAATGGGTGCTCAGCAGCCCTCAGGGCTTTCCCCTCTTGGCTAGTGATTTTCCAGCTCAGATTTTTTTAAAAAAGCATTCCTCAGAATTTACTTTAAGGGCATTGAATTTGCTTTTCCTTGGTTTTACCGAGTTTCATTGTTTTAGAATCTTGTATATTTTTGAAATCTGTTGCTGAGAGTAAATAAAAGCTGGAATGTTGGACCCTAAATCCGGACGGTGCCGTATGGTGTGTAGGGCCTCCTGGGTGGGGAGGTTACCTTGTGAATGAGGTCAGGCAGGCTCTGTCTGGCCGGGAGGTGAGAACAGATCGGCGGCAGTAACTGGCGCTCCTCTCTCTTCCGGCCCCGCCCCAGGTACATCGAGCTGGAACGTGTCCGCGATGCTGCCGCACCCAGGGATGTCCCTCCGGCGCCTGCTCTGTGCTGTGGCCTCCCACCGGCCCGCCCCCTTGGGATGCGGAGGAAGCAGCCGCCTGCACACGGCCCCAGCCGCCTGTGCCGACAGGAGCGCCCCTGTGTTCACCCGCGCCCTGGCCTTTGCGGACAGGATTGCTCTCATTGACCAGCATGGCCACCACACGTACAAGGACCTTTACTACCACAGCCTCCGCCTGTCCCAGGAGGTGTGCCGTCTCCTCGAGTGTGCTGGCGGGGACCTCCAGGAGGAGAGGGTCTCCTTCCTGTGCTCTAACGATGTCTCCTACGTGGTCGCGCAGTGGGCCTCGTGGATGAGCGGAGGCATTGCTGTCCCCCTATACAGAAAGCACCCCCGGGCCGAGCTGGAGCGTTTCATCCAGGACTCCCGGAGCTCTGTGGTCCTCGCTGGCCAGGAGTACGTGGAGCTCCTGCGCCCGCTGGTCGGGAAGCTGGGGGTCCCGCTGCTGCCTCTGCCGCCCACGGTCTATGGTGCGGCGGCTGAGGAGCCTGGGGAGTGGGAGGTGCGGGAGCGGAACTGGAGAGACCGAGGCGCCATGATCATCTACACCAGCGGGACCACGGGGAGGCCCAAGGGTGTCCTGAGCACTCACCACAACATCAGGGCCATGGTGAGTGCTCCCGTGCTGCCGTGCTGGGGCTTCTGGGGGTGGTCTGTCTCGCCTTTCCTAGGCGACCGCCCCCAGCTGCCACCGTTTGCCCGCCCTCCCAGAAGCCTGTGGCCAGAAGTGACCACCAGTCCTGCTAGCCCGCGGGGGACGGCTCTGGGAAAGGCGGGGGTGGTCACTCAGGCTAAGAAGGACTTAGGGGCCCACCGAGGGCTCCTCAGGGCCGTGCAGCCAGTGAAGGACAGAGTGGCCCGCACACGATGGTGAGGGTTTCAGAGGAAGCAGCTGCGGAGCGGACGTTCAGGATGTATGATGAGCACTGGGAAACGCGAGCGCAGGACTCGGAGCCTACGGTTTGGCACTGTTTCCGTGTTCCGTGGCCGTAGCGTCTCAGCCAAGCTCTGCAGCTATTTTATTTACCTGTCGGTTATGTCCTCCCTGCTTCCAAAAAATGTGTGTGTGTACGATCCAGACTCTCGTACGCTAGGAGCAGTAAGAGAGACGCTCAGAACCGCGGAGATGAGGTGTGAGGTCAGTGCCATTGAGTCTCAGCCTAATTCAGTCCCCACGGCAGGGGTAAACTGAGTCCAGGCTGACTGCAGGCACGGCCTCATTGATAGGCTTTCTGTCTCCTGCAAGGTAGACGTTTTGTCTGGAGAGACCATCTGTTGACTGGTGCCTGTAAGGGGGTGTGTATGTCACGTGTGTTTGCCCGTATCGTTCACGGGCATGCAGGTGGCATCCTCGCTGGTGATTTTCAGAAGATTCCAATGGGCGTGTTTCACGGTGCTTCTTACTCAAAGCTCAGGATGTGGCGGAAACCCGGCTCCAGGTCCTGTGACCGACCGTTCAGCTGCGCTGAGGGAGGTTCCAGACTCAGGCAGGCAGAGCAGGGCGGGCGTTCGGATTCAGGCCTGGACTCTGCAGATGCCCAGAATCCAGGGCCCGCTGGAGCCAAAACCACGCTTCCGACTGCCTGGGGGAAGAGCCACCAAGAGCGCATGCGGAGGACTTGGGACCCCCTACACCAAAGCCCTGGCCTTGTCCAGCTCTGTTCTTGGACGTGGGGGTCTGCAAGTGAGCCAACAGACCCTCGGGCGCGTGGCCACGGTCCCCCTCAGATGCCGTGAAGGGCCAGGTGCCAGAGCGTGAGCCTCCCTGCTCCTCTTCCCAGCTGGGGAGGCCTCCCTGGCCTGGTGGCTTCCCTCCTGTCTGAGGCTGTCCTGTCGTCCCACAGGTGTTGGGGCTGGTCCACAAGTGGGCGTGGAGTAAAGACGATGTGATCCTGCATGTCCTCCCGCTGCATCACGTGCACGGCATCGTCAACAAGCTGCTCTGTCCCCTTTGGGTGGGGGCCACCTGTGTGATGCTCCCCGAGTTCAACGCACAGCAGGTAAGTTGGGGACGGGCTCTTGCCGTGACTGGATCTGGGGGCCACGTGTATGATGCTCCCGAGTTCAGCGCACAGCTGGTAGGTTGGGGACGGGCTCTCGCCGTGGCTGGATCTGGGGGCCCGTGGCGCCTTCCTCTGCAGTGTGGACTTTGCCAGCTATGTGGGTTCTCTGTTGCTGCTGTAACAAATGATCCCAAACTGGAGGGGCTTAAAACAACACAGCTGATTCTCTGACAGTCGTGATGTCAGAAGTCCTTCTTGTGGAGTGAAAGTCGGGGTGTTGGCGGGGCCGCTTGCATCTGGAGAGGCCGATTCCTGCTGTTTCTGACATCTAGCCGCACGGCGCCCTTGCTTGTGGCCACCTCACCCCAGGCTCTGCCCGCCTCCTGTGGACCCTGTGATCACATCAGGTCCACCTGCATGTCCAGGGTCCCCTCCTTTCTCAAAAGCCTTAACCCCATTTGCAAAGTCCCTTTTGCCACGTGAGGTGACATATCCATGTGGATTAGAACAGGATGTTTTAGGTCCGTTGCTCAGCCAAGCACACCAGCTTTCCTTTGTTCTGGAGCGAGAGGTCCAGCTGGGGGCCCTTTGTTGGTCCCCGATGTGCGCATCTCTGCAGCATGCTGTACCTTCCCCACCCAGCCAGGCCAGCAGGGCAGGGCCCCCCACTGCTGAGCAGAGCGCAGTGATGAGGATGCCGCTTTGCAGGGAAGAAGACCTGGTCAGGTACCCACCTGCCGCTGGATACTCTGCAAGCCTCAGTTTCCCATATGTCTTGGTCGAGGCTGGGTGCTGCACAGACTGCCCTTGGTGAGGGCTGCCAGGCTTGTGTCCTGGGAGGCACCGCCCTGCACAGCTGGCTGACTGTTTGCTTCACAGGGAACTGTCTCTTTGGGAGAGACCCGAGATTTTTGTTAATTTTCGCTATAACTTATGTGATGATTAGAGCTTTTATTCACAGGGAAAAGGTTGAAAAGAGAATGTTGAGGTCACATCATACTAGTTCTCAAAACACCAAATGGCCGGATTGTCAAAGCAAAGAGCCCAGGACACCCCTGAGGCCGGGCTCTTGGTGTGGGTTGGTGGCTGTGCAGGGGCCGTCCCGCAGGGTGGACCATCCCCAGCCGGAGGAGACCGAGGTCGTGCTCCAGCCAGCGCTCACCTAGTACTCCAGCTGCTTGAAGGCTCCTGGCCCATCGGAGGGTCTGTTGGGAAGAGCACCCAGGTTCCCTGCCCAGCAGCTCAGAGCTTGCATTGCCTCATGAAGGGGCCCTGGAAAGCCAGGGTCCTTAGTCTCCAGCGTCCAGCAGCGTCCACCCTTCTGCCTCCCTTAGGCCTCGTCCACCCCTCGCAGCCCAGAGCCTTAACCCACAGGTGGCGTTGGGAGTGGCAAGGAGGAGGCTCTGGGGACAGGCTCTTGAGAGCAGGGTAGCCTAGACAACCTTCCACGTCTCTGTCCCTCAGTCTCGTTCTCCGAGAAAGAGGACCAGCGTGAGCCCTGCCCCGGGGACATGCAGGAGTGCCCAGCACACAATGGGGACATCACAGCCAACACGGACACCTCTCCCAGGAAGACAGAGCATGAAGAAGGGGACCCTTTCTTCTCTTGCTCCTGCTAGAGTTTCAGTCCAGAAGGAACTCGCTGTGTATGACCCAGTGAGCCTGTTTTCTGACAGCCGGTTGTAGGGGAGTTTAGAGAAGGAGTAGCCATTGACAGGACAACAGAGGTGGAGGTCCTCGGGCCAAGGTGGTCACTTCGGGCCTGTCCCAAGAGCCCAGGGCCCTCTGGGAGGGCCCTGGGCCTTTTGTCCACTCCCTCAGCCGCCACAGCTCTGCCTTCATTGTTTGTGTTTTGTTTCGGAGCTGCAGGATCCTGGGAGGTTTTAGGGGAACAGAGAACCTGCAGCTTGAAGATGCCTTTCAGGGCAGCAGTCTGGGGCACTGTCCATGTTCTAGACGTAAAGGCCTCCTGGCAGGCCTGATGGATGGTCCCCCCCGCCATGCACATGCCCCTTCTTGGCAGGGCTCTGACCCAGGGCCCTGTTCTCCCCAACCCTGACCGGATGGCTGCCCTGGCCTGGACGAATGGGCTGGGGGAGGGGGAGCACCTGAGGCTGTGGGGCTGCTCAGCAGGGAGCATCCTGGCAGGGGCCACAGCACAGTGGGGTCCTTGCAGAATGCAAACTGCCCGCCTCCCCGAATCCTCCATCCCCTTGGAGGACTTCCAAGGACTGGGGGCACTCGACACAGCAAAGATGGTGCCCTGCTCTCGCCTCCCCAGCACAGCCCTTTGGCTCCAGCCAGGCTTTCTTCAGGCTTTCTCGGGAGCCACAGCCGTGCTGCCCAGGGTCCCCCAGTCCTCACCTTGGTTGCACAGGCAGGAAGAGGCAGGGGCAGAGCTCTGGAGACCGAAGCTTCCAGGTGCTCTTTAAACAGAGGGGGAGGCCGCCCTACCCTGACCTGGAGCCCCAGTGGCTGATGGCCGACACTGGTGGACATTGCGCATGTCCCCCTGTCCCAGCTCCTGATTTGGGAGTGACATGAGTGCCCCTGGTGGGTGTGGCAGGGATGCCCTTTGGGGCAGCAGTATGAGACCAGCCAGGCCTTTTCTTTCCCAAACCACAGACCCAGGAACCACAAAGAAAGAACAGGAAGGAAGCACTGCCCCCCACCCCCCAACCCACCCAACTAACCTGGACCTGGTGCCCTCACAACCCGCTAACCCAGGCGTCGTCCCCAAAGGTGGTGTGCGCCCCCTTGCCTCTGTCCCCCTCACCTTCCCACGCTCAGGCCTCTCTTCTAATAAGTGTGCCCACAGCCATGAGGCCCCAGGCCACTGCCCTCCTCGCTGCAGCCCCGCTTCTGACCCTGCTCCTACATTACCACCTCCGGCCCGGCGTCCTGCGCACTTCTTCTCTCCCCCTAGAATGTCGCCCCTAGAATGTGTCTAAAGCAGCGCAGGGTCCAGGCGTTGTGGCTGAGTGGGTGACGCGTGGGCCTCTCTCGCTCCGGCTTCCCCACTTGCTGTGTGGGTAACAAGGGCACACTGGCGGGCGGCAGGCTCACACCCTCTGCACCCCGTCTCACTTAACTATCACTGTGAGTGTGTGGATTTGTGTCACAGGCATTTGGAGGGGGATGGTTGTTGGTTTAGTAAAAGTTTTGCTGTATCAAGTGAAGAATCAGAGCATAAGTAGATACAACGTAACACAGTTGTCCACTTAAAATCCATCATGTGGTTCCTTAAAGCAGTAACTTCCCTGCAAAGCTCCAGGTTTGTACACATTTGTGTCTGTGAACGTCTGTGCTTTGTCTCGATTTATTTTGTGCATCCGTTAGCAAGATGTATTCTGAGGTATCAGAAAAGCCTCGGGTTTTGGGGGCTTCTGGAAATGCTCAACAGTTTTTCCGTATAAATTAACAGCGATTGCTTCTTTGCTTTGCACCATTTTGACTCAGGACAGGTCTCATAGCTTCTGTTTAAGAAATCTCTGTGAAGTAGGGCCCAGGTTTCTGTAGTGGTGTTAGATGGCCTGGGGTCCTGGGCTCTGCAGGTCACCCCACTGGGCCCAGCGTGGGCCAGCTGTGGGGTGACCGACCCTCCGTGCCCTGTGATGGGGCCTGGTGAGATGGCAGTGACATGAGGGCAGGTGGGAAGGTGGGCAGGCCATCGCGGCCTGAAGAACAAAGTGACTGTTGATGAGGCTGTCTCGCCCATGTCTCCGTGGATTCCCTCTGGCTGACTCCCCAGGATCTCCACTTCTTGCCGGGGGGGCGGGGAGGGAGCGATTTCTACCAAAGGCACTAAATCAGAGTGGGGCTGTGGGATCTGCCGGGCAAGGCTGCGCCAGCCATGTGAGGCAGGAGGGTGCTCCCCAGAATCCTGGTCATGTGAGGGCGGGGTTCCCAGTGGGGTCACTGCTCCTGCCCAGGACACTTCCCTTGGGGTAAACATGCTGCCCCAGGAGACCTGTGGCCCCAGACCAAGTTTGTTCTGGGATCTGAGAAATTGGCATCTGGGTGGGGGAGGGGGAGTGTCTTCAGGCTGAATGTGTGTCAGGGCGTCTGCAGAGTTGGGGAGGGGGAGCAGAGCACGTGACTCGCAGGCCTCGGGTGGGAGCCGCGGCGTGGGGGCCTCTAGGGCAGGGTGTGCACAGGGGCTGCAGGAGCCGTGTCCTCATTGCCCACTTTTGGCCAGAGCACCTCAAACACAAGAACCGCTTTCTGTGTTTAAGATTACCAAAAAATGAGTGATGGTTTGATCACCGGGGTCCCTGCATTAAGCTGGTTAAGCCTTCATTGTGGTCCCCCACCTGCCTAGCAGTCCTGCAGTCCTGGGACCCGGGCCCGCTTTCCAGTCCTGGCAACACGGCGGGGTGCTGTGGGGCAGGGTGAGTGACGGAGGTCCTGGACCCCTCACAAGGCTGCATCCGTGGTGGGTGGCACCCCGACTCGGTAAGTTTGAAAGCTCGCAGGCCTTCCTGTGTGCAGCCGGGTTTGGGAACCACTGTCTGACCCGCTGGGACAGCTCATGGCAGAGCCGGGCTGTGCGGTCTGGCCGCCTCAGAAGTGCTTTCGCTCGTTAAGAGGCAGGGTCTGGGGAGGCTTGTTCTCTGCACAGAATCCCCAGGTGGATGATTTTGAGTTTCCAGAGGAGTTGGGACAGCGTGGAGGAGACTGCTGTTGGAAATGTTGTGTTTCGGGACAGCAGCTCCGCCTTTGCTGACTTGGGTGAATTCCAAGACGGGCGTCAGGAGGTGGCATCTGCGTAGATGTCCCCTGTGTGCTGGGGGTCAGATGCCAGCTGGAGGACCAGGGGACTGGTCAGCACCCTTTACGTGGCTGACCACGTGCTCCATCCTTCCTTTAGCCTTGTGTGCGAAGCCTGGCCTGGCCAGGACCACGACACCCCAGAGTGGATGCTAGCTCATGGGGCCTGTCCTCCCTCTTCTGGTGCCAGGCAGCCTGTGAGGGAGGAACCCCCTCACGGTGTCTCG